AAAAAAAAAGAATTCCTCTTGCCTTTGCTATGAGTTCTATGGGAAACAAACAGATGAGATGAAGGTTCTGTTTATGGAAATATCCAGCTAGTAAATGAAAAACAAATGACAGACTTAGTATATCTAAGGGATCAATGGATTTAGGCACTGAGCATTGATCCCTGGCTATTAGCATTAAAAAAGAGAGGTACCCAGACATTATGTGTCTCCTGAAAGAACATCCCACCACCCATGAAGTAACCTGACCTATCCTCAAATAAATAATATGAACTCAAATCTGATTAAGACTTCTCTCTCTTCCCAAAAAAGTAAAACAAACCAGAAACACCAAAAACCAAAATACAATTTAATCTTGAATCTGGTCTGATTAATCTTGAATCTCTAGATCCAACTATCAGTTTGTAGGCAGGTACAGGAATATGTTAAACTGCACTGCAGATGTAATCAAATAACCCAGAACAACCAACCTAGTTTCTTCAACAAAGTGCAAATAAAAAAGTGGGAGTGATGGAAGGAGCCTACAAATCTACAGAGATTTTTCTAATTGTGTCAACCAACTACAATATGTGGCTGTATTTGTATCCTGATGCAAACAAAATTGAAAACTTAAACATGGACTATTCAGTAACATTAAGGAATCTTACTTAGATGTAATGGTGGGACTATGAATATGTATTTAAAGTTCTTTTATTTTTTTTTTAAAGATGTATTTATTTTAGAGAGCAAGAGAAAGTATTCACAGACTTGAGTGGAGAGAGGGGCCAAGGAAGAGACTCTCAAGCAGACTCCCCCCTGCACATGGAGCCCAAGTCGGGTCTTAATCTCATGACCCATGAGATCATGAGCTGAGCTGAAATCCTGAATGGGATGCTTAACCGACTGAGCTACATAGGCACAAGTTCATATCTTTTAGAGAAGCATTCTGACATATGGGATGATATAATGTCTGGAATTTGCTTCAATATAGTACTGGGGGGGGACAACTGGATGATGAGTATCGATGACACAAGAGTGCCCACCATGAGTCAGTAACAGTGTCACATAAAAGCAGGGTATGTGGAAGTTCATTATCATAGTCTATGTTTCCAAAATGAAGGTTTTTAAAATTTAATAAACTCTAAGTAATCTTTACAATAAACAATTAAAATAATAAAAGAACTGACCCTATCACCCAAGAGAGTAGTAAGAGTTGAAAGAAATTATCTAAATCATTCAGAACATTTCATTGGACTATTCTTACTAATTAGGATGAAATCTCAGTTGGCAACCCCTTAAACGCCAGAAAAGCCTTACGTTAAGAAAAACTATTCAAGGAAAATGCAAATGCACAGTTTTCTGTATGTTAACATGATTTAGATAAGAAAAACTACAATAGTAATAGAAATGTCTCCTTTGGATCATTCTATGTAAATAAATATAAGAACAAATTCAGGAACTGAAGCATAACCATGCAAACTGACATTTAATGAAGTAATTTTTTTAAAAGGTCAAACACATGCAGGCACACATATATGTATATATAATAAACCCATTTAATGTTGGATAATTTTTTTTTTTAAGATTTCTTTATGTGAGAGAGAGACAGAGAGCGAGCACACGAGCAGGGGGAGGGACAGAGGGATAGAAACAATCTCCAGCAGACTCTTTGCTGAGTCCAGAGCCAGACATGGGGCTTGGTCCCAGGATTAGGAGATCATGACCTGAGCTGAAATCAAGAGTTGGACACTTAACCAACTGAGCCACCCAGGCGTCCCAATTCTGTATACATTTTTAAAACCCAATTCTTTTACAAGTGAAAATATAGAAAAAAATTTTTTGACCTTATTAAAGGCAAAGTTAAATATCAAAATTTGGAAATTTTTAAACTAAAATTCATTATGATTACATAAAGAAATCTAATGATAAACTAAAGAACTTTAATGTCTGTACCTTGAACATAATACCTAAAATTTACTTTGTCTCACTTCACACAAAAAACAAAAACGTTTAGCAGCACATCTTTTCACAGATAAAAATTTGATTCTCAAACCTCTCGGGTCCTAAGGTAGTAAGAAGAAATGAAACTCTTTTAAAATACTGTATTTGGGGATAATAAAACTAATTATTTCTGGATTTTTAAACATAGCAGTTTTTAAAGATATGATCTGTCCATTCTAAATCCAGGTAATAATAAATTGTACAAAATATGGATCTATTTTGCAGATTTCACATAATTCGTGTTTTTAGCTGATGGGAGAACCCAGGGGCTACAAAGTCTGAAGCACAAAGAAAATCACTTACTAGGATTTTAAAATAGCCACAGAGCAAACTTGCCTTACCTGGCTTAGGAGCCATGTGCATTTTAATTGTATGGGATGGCTCACCAGAGCCCAACTTCTCCTCTATATGTTGTGACTGAATTAATCCCTTAGATTCTTCTTTCTTTGGGCTTTTTCCTTTCTTCTTTTCTTCACTCTCAAAGCTCTCTTTGAGGTCATCACTGAGTGTTTTAAGGTCACACTGTATATCCAATTTATTTATTAACGCAAAGTCACCCGCAACAGTCTCCTCCATGGTGGGCTCCATGGGCTCATCTACAAATCAGAAGAAGTCAAAGTCCATCAGCTAGGCCATCTGACACAGTTAAGATACACATAGGAAAAAAAACAATACCCCCTTTTTCCCATGTGGAAGAGACTACTATGTATGCATAAAATCCATTCTCCTGGCTTCCAAAGTAACGGAGCTGTAGTTAAGACTGTGGCACCCAAGCAAAGGTATGTACCCCCAGTCCCTCTGCAAGTTGTGACCAAGCTCCCACCAATGGAACATAACCAAACTGATATGCCCAATTTGGCCTCGCTTGTTTTCAAAGGAATTTTGTGACCCTGAACTTCGACCCTTTACCCTCCCCACTGCTGGATTAGTGAAAACCAGAGTGACTGGAAATCACACGTTGAAGGGAGTCCCAGAATGGATGGGGTGGGGGAGTGGGGAACAGAGTTGCAGGCTAACGTGGAACACCCACACTGGACTGTTATATGAGGAAAGAAACAGACTTCTAACATTGTTTAGTCATTGCAGTTTGGTGTCTTTCTGTTATAGCTGTTTACCCTTCCACTCTACATCACTCTTATGAATTAAGTTGCAGAAATAAATAATTTAGAAGCCTAAAACAAGTCAAATAGAAAACCAAATGTAAAAACCATGTGTAACGACAGGTAACCATCAATTTATAAATGGAAGGCACCTTAAAGCTTATCTGAATGTTAATTTTTGAAACTCAGAACATGATTCCCAGCCACTGAAAAATATTTTTAACAAAATTTACTTAGTTTTTAGGATTATGTACAGACAGTACTAATCAGAGCTGCACCAAAATTCTGATATTTCCAAAGCCCAATTGCCCCTGAACCTCTACACCCCTGAGCCTTTCTGCCTCTCTGTTGCCCATAGCTCTGCCAAGTCTGCTCCAGGTTGTCCTGAATCTTGGTCTGTTAAGGACAGTGCATGAAGGCGAAGAACTTACCTGTCCCTGCTGGTCACTGTATCACCAGTGCTTAAAACAGGGACTGGTACATTGTGGGCAATGAAAACACACTTGGGGAATATATTAACAAGTTAAAACTGGGATGGAAGGCTTCCAGGATTAGGTATTTCCTATGGCAGAAGTGAGAGACAGCTCTAAGGACAGGTAGCATTCCCAATTATTAAGCTCATGTATTAGGCACTGCCTAATAAAACTTTTAAAAGGAAAAGACACTGAAAAAACTGAAAAAGCAAAGTATCTATAACCAAAGTTCATTAAATATTTCTAATTATCTTGTAGGAAATTGACTCTCAATTCAAAATTTATCACATAAATAAGAAAATTTCGGGCAATATGATTTACTGAAGGGCTTCCTCAAACACAGAAAACCTGAGCTTTACTCATCATTCAAAGTGATTATGCAATCTTATGTAAGGTGCACCTAAGCATCTGTTTCTCAAACGTAATACCACTTCCCATTTACTTCACAAGGTACTATTAGGATCAAGTAAGATAGGAGTTGTCAAAGTACTGTGAAAACTAAAGTTCCAATAAACTCCAAGACATCACAATATCTTTAAAACTGTCCTCCATCTTCTTCTGCAGCTAGACTTTCCCTGACAGACATTCCCTATATCCTTGACTTTCGGGCCAGTGGTAATAGTAACAGCAACACTAACAGCAATCCCCACCATCAGAAGAATAGTACTACCTGACTGCAGTAAGGACCCATTCCCCTACTTAAGAAATAACCGAAAATGACAACCTTGGAAATCTACATCGATGTAAAGAGTTTTTACACCCCCAACTCATCTTACCCTCACAATTTCCTTTGGAAATTTCCCCTTTAGCCAGAAATTTCAACATTTTTTTCAAAACCTTCTTGTGAGATTTTGACGGCTGAAACTGTAAAGGTCGGCACCTAGGAAAACAAAATAAATATTTAGAAAGTGAACTCAAACCAGAAGAAATAAAATGAGTTCTGGGCAGTGTCTAGTACAGAAAGGCAAAATTCATGCCCAGGATTTTTGGGTAAAGACAGGGCTTGATGTAGCCTCTAGTCCCACCCCAAATCCCCCTAAAACTACATTAAGGAATTAGAAAAAAAGAAAAAGGCATAAATCACTGAAAAAAAAAAAAAGAGGAGAAATCCTAGAAGCTGGGCAGAACATGCACAAGTGGTAACTGACTTAGCAGACCAAAGAATTTTTGAATCCTAAACCAACAGTGGGAAAAGCCAAAATGATAACTAATTTTCTCTACATTAACCCTACAAATTTTAGGGATTGGTTGATAACTGATACCTCAGGAGATAAGAGTGAAGGTGGTTCCAAAAATAGAAAGATCGTTTGAAAGTCTGTTTTGGAAGCAGTTAGATGTCTGATGCCTCCACCACTCCACACAGGACTCCCTACACAACCCAGGAGAAAGCTCCACATTTAGGAAAGAGTAAAAAATAGGGCCTCCTACATGAGGATGTAGGCACAGCGGAAAGCAATGGAAATGTACTAGAAACAGGAAGCTTAAATGAAAGTCTACATACTGAATGTGGAAACCTCCAAGCCATTTCCCAACCCAGCCACAAACATGGGCACTTTCTCTCCAGAATGTGACCAGACCTCGAGATACCTCAGGGACTCCCCCCTGGAAAGTCAGAAGCACCGGACACTCAAGGAGAACCTCTACAAAGACACTGGAGAGGTAACCTGGAGGATATACAAGAAGAGAGCCTAAAAATACAAATAACCTAAGAAGAACACGAACATCCTAAGAAGAACACGCTCTTATTTCTCTTTAGCTAGTACAGCCACACGATAATGGGAGGTTACAAAAAAGAGAGGGAGAGAGAGTCCAAAACCAAAAATCTCTCAGAAGTAAAAATATAATAGAAGAAATAAACAATTAAACAGAAGACTCAGAAAACTGAGGAAATTTCCCAAAAGATATTGCAAAAGGGATGGAAAACGAGAAAAAAAAGTTAGAGGATCACTCTAAAAGTTCAACATCTGAATGAAGACATTATAAAAGAAGAGGAGAAAAAAATGGGGGGAAGAAGATCAACAAAATAATAAAAGAAAATTTCTGTGAAGTGAAGGATATGATGGGAGGAGGCCCCAGATAAGAAGAGCCCCTTAAGTCCTTAAGCAATGGACGCAGACAGACACACCACCAGACGTGAAATATCAGAACATTGGGGACAAAAAAACCTTTCAAAAGGAAAGAACGTTTTGGACAAAGGAACAAGAATCAGAAGCAAAGCCTTCAAAATTCTAAGGCAAAATTATTTCCAATCTACACTGCTATAGCCCAGCCAAACTAGATATCTGAGTGGTGAATTAAAACATTTTCCAACAGGGGCACCTGGGTGGCTCAGCTGGATGAGCATCTGACTGACTCTTGGTTTGGGCTCAGGTCATGATCTCAGGGTCGTGGAGATGGAGCCCCGAGTCAGGCTCTATGCTGAGCATGGAGCCTGCTTGGGATTCTCTCTCCCTCTCCCTCTGCCCCCATCCCCGCTCGCACACTATCTCTTTCTCTCTTAAAAAATTTTTTTTTCAAACATACAAAGTCTAGAAAAAGGACTTCAAAAAAAATACACTTTTTCTCAAGAAAGCTATTAGAAGATGAGCTGCACTAAAATGAGGAAATAATCTGAGAGGTCAGAGGAGACAGAAAACATGAGATCCAAAGAGAATCCCCAAGATGGCAGTAAAAAGAGATCCCAGGGTGACAGTGATGCATCAGCTGGAAAGACAACCTGTCCAGATCACAGTAGGTCAGAAGACAACACAGACATATTCGTGAAGAGGACACAAGTGACGGAGGACCTGAAGCACCTATAAATACCAAGAGGAAATTTACACAACTGTGGGAGGATTTCTAAAACTGACTGGTGATGGGTACACAGAAGACGATGCAAACAAAAAAGACAATGATCAACTCCATGGAAAGCAAAAACTTGTGAAGGAAAGAAAATGTAATGAACAGTACACTGCATGGCTCGACCACATGGCATATTTATAGGCCATGATCCAGCGACTACACCGTCCAACGTTAAGATACTTCTGAGCTGGGCAGTTGGCAATGAGGACAAAAAGGAGCTTGAATGTGACAGGGCAACGGGGATGAAATAAAGTTAAATCCTTATCTTTCAAAGAGAGAAATTCAGAGATAATGAGAAAAAATAAAGTTGAATCCTTACCTTTCAAAGAGAGAAACCCAGAGATATGAGAAAAACCCAAAGATAATGAGATAAGGTTTTTGTAATTATATAAGCATGTCACTTAAAGGTAGAAGAATAAACAAACAAACAAAAAAATCAGTTAAAAACTCTGAGAGTGACTGCACTGGGAAAAAGAAATAGATAGGGAGGTTCAGGGGACTGCAATTTTGCAAAGTAAGCTTTATGGAATTGTTTGATTTTTAAATTACTAGCATATATAATTCTATATAAAAATAAAAACTAAAAAACAAAAAAATTCATAGCCAAGGAAGCTTATCCTCATTTACACTCACATACTGGGCAGCCCCTGACATCTAACAAGAAGCTACGTTGTAGGTTATAATCGCCTTGACTTCACATTAGGTCTCATTATAACTACTGCAGTAAACAAAGTAAAAAAACCCAGAACAGGAAATATGCAAAACGACTCTGTAATATCAATACATGTAATGAAGTTGTGTAAAGGATAACAATTCAGGAAATGTTTGATTTCATGCCAAAAAAAAAAAATCACATTTTATAATTATTTTGTTTTGCAATGTTAATTGAATCCCTTTTCATAAAAGCAATATACCTGGAACAGAGCTTTGCATTGAGAGGCACCCAATAAATTATAGAGGCTTGGTCTTTTTCTCTAACCCACTGAAATTGACTTTTTTTTTTTTAACCTTTTCTGATTAGAAATTCACAGGGTTCTAGCAAATCAGCTGCAGACTTATTTAAACAAAATCTGGGCCATAATCCAATAACAAACTGTTACTTGAAGGAAAGGACGTCTGCCTTTGAGGATGTCACTGCTTCATAACCACTAAAGCTGCAGGATGACAGGACAGCGGCCTTAGTGAGATGATTTCAGCAAACCAGACACCCATCTTTTCTCTTTATTGTTCCAGTCCTATGCCCAGTTAGATAAAAGAAAGGATTCTTAACCAGGAATCGGTGGAACTGTGAGAGCCCGTGGGGAGCCCAAGATCATCCTAAAATTAGTATGCAAATGTTACATATTTTTGCCTATATGCCCCCTCCCTTCTGTTTGGCTGCAGAAAGGGTCTGTCACTTTTCATCAGATTGTCAAGTCTTCAATCCCAAAACAAATTAAGAGCAACTAAGAGAGGGCGCCTGGGTGGCTCAGTTGGTTGGGCGACTGCCTTCGGCTCAGGTCGTGATCCCAGAGTCCCGGGGTCGAGTCCCGCGTCGGGCTCCCTGCTCGGCGGGGAGTCTGCTTCTCCCTCCGACCCTCTTCCCTCTCGTGCTCTCTATCTCTCATTCTCTCTCCCTCTCTCAAAGAAATCAATAAAATCTTTCAAAAAAAAAAAAAAAAGAGCAACTAAGAGAAAGAGGTGTGAGGACCAGCCAAAACATGATGGATACAACTGTGTTTGCTTTTTTATCTAGAGAATATACTCATATTGAAACTGTAGACAAATGCTTCATAATGGCAACATACTTGCCCTAGACTCTACCAGAAGAGGAAGGCAAGGACCAGGGGGAAAAGGAGGATCTGTCTAATCTGAAGAGGGAAAATCCTTCCATGTTATATCGGGGTTTGCTGGTGAAGCAAACACTTTGTCGGAAAACAGACTTTTAAGTTTTCCGATGAAGAAAACTGGACTCTCAATATATGTGGCAGATTAAATGTCAGCCCTCCCCCTCCTCTTCCTACAGATCCTATAGTGCTGTCTGAATGTGAGTACTGTGTCCAGTAATACACTAGAATCTGGAAATCCCCAAGCTCAATTCTACAAAACATGTGATATCTAAAAGTAATCTATTTTCTAATATTCTCACAATATGTCATATCATTGACTAGACTGCTAAACAGTATACTTTTTCATATCCTATTTACACCCAAACCATTAAACAGTATTATTAAAAGCTACTGATGACATATAAATGTAGCATCAGTTTGTAGAAAAGATATAACTCATTTGCTCTTCTTTATAAAGCGTCTAGCTAGAATGAAAATTAACATGTAAAAAAAGCAAGATGTCACTGAAGAACTATACATACTCCTCAAATTTATATATACCTCCTCTTTCTTACCTTATCGTGTACTGAGGGCAACATGTTTGATTCATGACAGGCTTGTACACATATTTCCCGCTTCTAAAATTAAAAAGTAGTTTTGTTAATGTCTTACACATTTCTCACATGTACTAAAGTAGACTAGTACAGGAGTACAAAATTAATTAGAGTAAAAATCTAACCAACAACACAAAAACATTTAGTTACTCTTCATGACCTAAATAATCTTGCAACATAGACACACCAAGGACGGAGTCCAGCCTTTTCTTTCCTAAACCCTGATATATGTACTCCAAACCTCTTCACCTCCATCACCCGCTCAGCAGCACCTGCAATCCTTCCATGCCTCAGCCCACCACCAATCCTCAACACCAAAGGCAATCAGAGGAAATCGCTCAGGACGAGGTGACACTGATGGGAGCCATATATGCACAGATGAGGGTTCCATGTGTAGTAGCACAAGGTAGCCCAAAATTAACCTGATGCTTTCAATGCTTTCTGGATCTCAGTTAGTGGCAGAGCCATGACATTATGGATTGAATCGTGTCCCCTCAAAATTTGTATTTTGAAGCCCTAACCCCCAGTACCTCAGAATGGAACTGTAGTTAGAGACAAGGCCTTTAAAGAGGTGACTAAGTTAAAATGGCAGCTAAGATGAGCCCTAACCCAATCTGAATGCTGTGCATTATAAGAAAAGGAAACTGGGGGCACCTGGGTGGCTCAGTCGGTTAAGCATCTGCCTTCAGCTCTGGTCATGATCCTGAGGTCGTGGGACTGAGCCCCACATCGGGCTCCCTCCTTGGTGGGGAGTCTGCTTGTCCCTCTCCCTCTGCCTCTCCCCACCCCGCACTTATACTCTCTCAAAAAAATAAATAAAATCTTTAAAAAAAAAAAAAAAGAAGAAGAAGAAAAGGAAACTGGAAATACAAAGAGACACTAGGCACTCGGGATATATATACAAAGAGAAAGGACCACGTGAGGCCACAGCAAGAAGACAGCAGCAATGTACAAGCCAAGGAAGGGTCTTCAGGAAAAAATAAAGCAGCAGACACCAGGATTTTGGAAATTTCAGCCTCCAGTACTGTGAGAATGCAGAGTCCTGTTGTTTAAGATACCCAGTTGGTGGCATTTTGTTATGGCTGCCCAAGTAAACATACATGAGCTCAGTTCCTGAGTCAGAAACCTGGGAGTCATCTCAGATTCCTCCCTCCAAAGCACCTCTACATCCAGTCAGCAAGCTTTCTACTTCTAAAATGTACCGCCTACGTCTGTCCCCTCCCATCTATCTCCTAACCTATAGCCACTGATGGTGACAGCATTGTCATGAGATGACCGTCTCACATCCGGACCCTGCAGGGATCTCTGGAACGAGTCTTCCTGCCTTTGCAATCACCCCCTCAAATACCTCTCTGTTATCTGAATGATCGTTTCCAAAACACAAATTCCATCACAATTCTGACATGAAAGCTTTCGATGGCTCCCCTCCACCTTTTAAAAAAAGAAGTTCATCATGGCATACAAAATCCTTCAACATCCGACCTAGATCTACCTTCCTTTTGGGTCTCATTATTAAGTTTAAGAAAAGGTGTGAAGTTTTATTATGCTGTGCTCAATCCCATGTCTTTGGGGGAGTATTGGCAGAGAGCATTTAGCACTGTTTATATTTATATAAGAAACTTTATATATTCTAAAATCATCTATAAAAAGGTAATTACCAAAAAACTTAGCCATCAAAGGCAAAGTGTGGACCTTAATGGAATCTTGACTCAAATAAACCAAGTATAAAAAAAAAAGGACATTTCTGAGACAAGCAAAAAATCTAATCAAACTAACAGATGACATCAAAGAATTATTGTGTAAAAGATGATAATGGTATTGTAGATATGTTAAAAAGGAAAAAAGATTCCTTTCTTAGAAACATCTATTTATTACAGGTATACTAAGAGGATACCTGAAATTGCTTTAAATTATTTCGTGGGGGAGGAGGGAACATCTTAGTTTCTTCAAGCTGATGTAACAATATGCCAAGGACTGAGTGGCTTATAAACAACACAAATGTATTCCTCATAGTTCTGGGGGTTGGGACGTCTAAGACCAAGGTGCTGGCACATTCTATGTCTGGTAAAGATAAGCTTCCTGGTTCATATTTTTGTTGTAACCTCACATGGCAGAAGGGGCAAGGGAGCTCTCGGGGATATCTTTTACAAGGGCACCAATCCCATTTGTGAGGACTCCACCCTCTGACCTAATCACCTCCCAAAGGCCCACCTCCAAATACCATAAAATTGGGGAAGGGAGTGAGAATGATACACGCACATTCACTCCACTGCAGGGAGCAAGGAGAACTGATGCAACAAAGTTGGCAAAACGTTAACTGCCACCGTGCACCTAGCCTGCCGGTAGGTACCTGAGATTCATTGTACCGT